CCATCTCTAGCTTCTGTCCCCTCCCCAGAGGTCTAGGGGTGAGGCCAAAAGTTCCAACCCTCTGATTACCTGATTGGTTTCCCCGGCAACCATCTTTCATCCTTAGAGCCTTTCCAAAAGTCTCATTAGCATAAACTCATGTGTGGTTGGAAGGAAGTTGATATAAATAGCAAGACACCTTTATTACTCTTGACATTTAGGAAATTCCAAGAATCTTAGGAGCTCTGTGCCAGGAATAGGGATGAAGACCAAATATATATATATATTCCTTATTGTAAATCACAATATCACCCCCCCCCACCCACACTATATTGTTTAAGTTTCTATTTTAGTTCTTTAAACACTCTATGGTTAATATTCTGTTTCTGAAAATTTGAATAGTTAAGGTCTGAGTGGGTTTGCTGACTGAATTTCTGCTTGTTTTCCATCAAGATGTCCTGTTTTCTTATGTTTCAACATTTTCCAAAAACTGTCACTTCCCTTGCTTTCATTTTCTGAATTAATAGGCTTCCCTCACTTTTTTTAAAACCAGTTTTGGATTTATACACAAATCAACTGGAAAGTACAGAGAGTTCCCAAATCATCCTTTACCCCCTGCCTGTTTCCCTTATTATTAACATCTTGCATTAGTGTGTTGTATTTGGTACAGTTAATGAGCCAATATTGATACATTACTATTAACTAAAATCTATAGTTTCTTTAGGGTTCACTCCATGTGTACATTCTGTGAGTTTTGATGAATGTATAATGACGTGGATCCACCATTACATTATCATACAGAATAGTTGCACCGACCCCAAATTCCTTGTGCTCTATTTATTAATTCTACTCTCCTTCCCCAAGCCCTGGCAACTATTGATCCTTTCACTGCCTCCATAGTTATACCTTTTCCAGAATGTCATATATTTGTAATCCTATAGTATATAGCCTTTTCAGATTGGCTTCTTTCCGACTGGAAAATGCATTTAAGTTTCTTCCATGTTCTTTCATGGCTTGATAGCTCATTTCTTTTTAGTCGTGAATAATATTCATTGTCCAGACGCATCACATTTTATTTATCCATTCACCTGCTGAAGGATATCTTGTTTGCTTTCAAGTTTTGGTGATTATGAATAAAGCTGTTATAAATAGCTGTATGCAGGTTTTTGTGTGGCATAAGTTTTCAACTCATTTGGGTAAACACCAGGGTGCACAATGGCTAGAGAGTGTGGTAAAAGTATGCTTAGATTTGTAAGAAACGTCTAAACTCTTTTCCAGAGTGGCTGTGCTGTTTTGCATTCCCACGGCAATGAATGAGAATTGCTGTTTGTATACAACCCTGCCAGTGTTTGGATTTTAGACATTCCAACAGGTATGTAATAGTATTTTCTGGTTTTAATTCGCCATTCTCTATTGTCATATAATGTTGAGCGTCTTTTCAAATGCTTATTTGCCATATGTATATCTTCCTTGGTAAGATGTCTATTCAGATTTTGGCCATTTTTAAATTGGGTTGTCTTCTTATTGTTGAGTTTTAAGAGTTCTTTATGTATTTTGGAAATGTTCCTTTGTCATATACTTTCTCCTAGTGTGTGACTTCTCTTTTATTCTCATAACAATATCTCTTATTGAGCAGAAGTTTTAAATTTCAATGAAGTCCAATTTACCTGATTTTTCTTTCATGGATTATGTTTTTTGGTGCTGTATCTGAAAAGTCTCACCAAACCCAAGGTCACTTAGGCGTTGTTCCGTGTTATCTTCTAGGAGTTTTATACTCTTGTATTATGCCTTTAGGCCTATGATCCATGTTGAGTTGGTTTTTGTGAAAAGTGTAAGGTCTTTAAGATCCCTGTGTTGGCTGGTGGACGTCCCGCTGTTCCAGCACCATTGTTGAACAGACTGTCTTTTAAACATTGAATTATCTTTGCTCCTGTTTCAAAGTTTGGCTGACTATAATTGTCTGGATCTATTTCTGGGTTCTTTATTCTGTTTTATTGGCCTATTTGTCTATTCTTTCACCAAAACTGTGCTGTCTTGATTATGGTCGCTTTACAGTAAGGCTTGAAGTCGGGTAGTATCAGTCCTCCAAATCCATTTTTTTCCTTCAATCTTCTGTTGGCTATTCTGGGTCTCAGTCTCTCCATATAAACTTTAGAATCAGCTTACCAATATTTGCAAAATAACTTGGAATTTTTATTAGGATTGCATTGAATCTGGAAATCAAGTAGAGAAGAACTGGTATTTTGACAATATTGTTCTTATTCATGAACATTCTCTCCATTTATTTAAATCTTCCTTGATTTCTTTCATCAGAGTTCTCCTATAAGTCTTATACATTTTTTTTGTTAGATTCATGCCTAAGTATTTCTTTTTGTTGTTGTTGTGGATATAAATGGTATTATGTTTTTAATATCAAATTCCAGTTGTTTATTTCTGGTATATAGAAAGCAATTGACCTTTATGTATTAACCTTGTAGACTGCAACCTTGCTGTAATTGCTAATTAGTTTCAGGAAATTTTGCTCAATTTGTTTAGATTTTCTATGTAGATAATCATTCTTGCCTTGTTCTTGTTCTCAGTGGGAAAGCTTCTAGTTTCTTACCATTGAGTATGATGTTAATTATCAATTTTCGTAGAACTTCTTTGTCAAGTTGAAGAAGTTTCCCTCTATTCTTAGTTTGCTCAGAGTTTTTATCATAAGTGGGCGTTGGATTTTGTCAGATGTTTTTCTGCATCTATTGATATGATCATGCGAATTTTTAGCCTGTTGCGGTAAATTCCATTCATTGGTTTTCTTTCCTTATTGCTTTGTTATTTTGATAGACTTTATTCAAAAATGTAAACACTCTAAAACAAACATTTCAGGTGGTGGCTGACACATCATTCAGTTATTTGCTCTGCTGAAATGCCTTCAACTCCCCCTCAAATAAAAATTGAATGAAATTCCCAGACAAGCTTGAGCACAAGCTGAGACACAGCACTTTTTATTTATTTATTTATTTATTTATTTATTT